GGGACAGCATTCGCTGCTGCCGCCTCATAACGTCGACGCCTCGTTCGATTGGCGCTAGTCGATCCGATCCGATCCGATCTTTCCGTTGCCCGTGCACCACACACCGGTACACTCACTCTGCCTCTGTCGGTGCCTCTGCCTGTGCTGTGCTCTGCTGGGTTCGGTTCGGTTCGGTTCAGTTCTCAGTTGTAGTTTATTTTCCCTCTGCTGACGACGGCGTTCGGAGGGCGCGATTAAAATATTCCGCCAAATGGGAACAGATTTCGAGTCCGGACATTGAATTCGCATTACTCCCACAGAGACTATCGCGAGACGGGCCTACCCAGACCTATAGAGCCAGGTGAACCAGGGAGTGCCCCACTCACAATACAATCTGATTCCCATTCTGGGCAACCTTGAACTTGGATGGTGCGACAATTTGTGCATTTTGTTTGTGTGTTTCAATTAGATGCAGGCCAGGCACACAGTCATTCAGTCAGTCAGTCATTTAGCCTGTCAGTCAATGCGCTGTAACGCGTGTGACAGAGAGTGTAAAAATAAAATAAAACACCCGAGGCGGAGGCTGAGGCTGAGGCTAACACTGAGGTAAAGGCATCAGGCATCAGGCATCAGGCATCGGGCTTTAGCATCAGTAGAAAACTAAAATAAAAACTAAAAATAATCGTCTGCCAATTTGCGCTCTAGCCAAGGAGAGGCCACAAACAATAATAGAGGATACAGAGGTGAGTGATTCGACTCTGAGCGAAATGTGCGAGGGGGGACTGATTGGGACACGTTCTTGTCACGCACCTCACACGGGTTCATCCTCCTAATTCTTCGCCTTCCCTTTGATTCCCTTTACCCCAACGATCAAAGGGAAATGTGGGAAAATGTCAATACCCCAATACACCCCCCATGGCTGGCTATCTGGTAGCCACACAGCTGGTGGCACAACAGGCACCAGAGCGTTGCCAGCCCATGTAATGGCAATCGCAATCTTATCATCCTTATCGATGGATGGCTCTATAGTCTATATGGTAGTGGGCTTTGCTTATCGCGATCTGTGCCAATCGTTTGTACGATCAGGCCGAGACGTATCGAGTCGAGCACATGGACAATGGAATTCCAACAAGAGTGCACTAGTTGATCCCATCAAACATCTAACGAAGCAGCAAAAGTTCCAATACCAATTCGTAGATACAAAATCAAAGATAATAATCTTCATTTCCGGCAGCTTTATCAGTGTGTGAATCCCTTTTGTTACTGTTTAATTACTACAACTATAATCCCTCCAATCTGCTGTCGAGAGTTCGCTTATCGAGGGAGACCTTATCTAATTAAGACCTCAATTTACTATCATTGGGAATCTGTCATCATGTTGTATCACACCACACCAGCAGCAGCAGCAGCAGCAGCAGCAGCAGCAGCACTGGAGGTGCTTTGCTCGTATGTTTTTTGATTGTTACATAAATGGAAACAGCATCAAATAAATCAATTCAATACGTTCAAGGTCTCTCGCAATCCACAAACTGGAGGAGCAGTTTAAGAATTGCCATCAAAGTGGAAGTCTTTGTTTTGCTGTAATCCTTATCGGCACCATCGACTTGCGTGGAGTTTCCTTTCTTTTGTAAAAGAAAAGCTCTCCATTGATGGCATTTTTAGTGACTTTTTAATCGAGTTGCTTGCTGATACGCCTCCAGACATTCGTGACCTTGCTCCCTCTGTCACTGTACGTCCACAAAAGACTTCTAGAGGACAGTGATGAAAGTGATTCACTCAAGCAAAATCTTTAGCTATTTGCGCGCTAACTTTGGTCTTCGTCTGCGTCTAAGTAGCTCCGCGTCACATGACTACCATGCTGATAAGAGAGACAGAGAGAGGGAGAGCGGGGAATCTCTGTGGCGATTTTTGGGAGGAGGGGCTAGCATAAGGCACCAGCCATGAACCCGGGCTCTGGGTGCCGCTGGCAACAACAAACAAACCAAAAATTAATAAAAAAAAAAAACAGCACAGGCAGAACCCAGCAGGCGATCGCGAGAGCACGAGAGAGAAATGCAGTCGGCCTGCAGCTTCATAACCTTTTTCGTTTCAGGCTGCTGCAGTTAATTGTGGCAAGTGGATCGTTAAAGTGTTCCACCAAACAAATTGACAAGCGGCTCGTAAATCATACACTCGAGACGACAAAACAATTGTTTTGAGCACGATCTCGCGTTTGAGGCTCAGTAAATGGTTCCTCATTCCGCATCATCAACGGCTCTCTGGGTGGGAAATGGGTTCCGATCCTCCACTCACAGACTCGAATCTTGAATCTTGGGACCTTTCTCAATTGCAGTTGCAGCAATGGATACCACGGAGAAGAAGGTGTACCAGGACACCACTCGACCCCTGCCCAAGGCCACCTCGGAACGGTACTACAACAGGAATGATAAGAGCGATTTGGGTGAGGATTTTGTGGCCCCCGATGGCGGCTGGGCGTGGCTGGTGTGCGTTGCCGCTGGCGTTTCCAATGTAGGTAAAAGGATAAGGCGCTCTCTCGACCCCTCGTTGCCCCCCCTCCGAACTGAACCCTTTGCCACCCTTTGCCCTCCCGCCCACACAGCTGTCCATCTATCCGTGCCTGCAGCAGTTTGGCTTCCTGTTCAGAGAGCGACTGGGGGACCTGGGCATGTCCAGCTCCCAGATCACGGCCATCATCAATACGAACCCGGCGGTGTCCGCCTGCACGGGTCTGCTGAATGGTCCAATGTTTCGCCGCTTCACCTTTCGCCAGGTGGCCATGGCCGGCTCCCTGCTCATCTCTGGCGGCATTGTGCTGACGGCCTTCTGTGAGACATTCGTGGGCTATATGGTGGCCTATGCCCTGCTCTTTGGTGAGTCTTCTGGTCTCTGCCAGTCCCTGACACTTTTACCAACCAGAAGTCTTCTCTTTCTCTTCAGGTTTTGGCATGGGCATCAGTGTTTCGGCCTCGTCGCTGGCAATCAACACGTACTTCCAGCAGAAGCGACGCAAGGCCGCTGGCTTCTCGTGGACCATCACGGGTCTGGGTCCGATCTTCCTGCCCTATCTGGTCACCTACCTGCTGACCGTCTACGGGGTGCGGGGCACTGTGCTGCTGTTTGCCGCCATTTCGCTGCATTCGTTTGTCAGTGCCATGATCTACCAGCCGGTGCGGTACCATGTGAAGGGCAGAACCGTGGAGCCGGAACTGCTGGTGGAACAGCAGCCGACGGAGGCGCTGTGCGCCCACTGTGCCTGGCAGCAGAAGCGCGAGCCGGGTGGGATCTTCTCCAGCCAGTATCTGTGCCAGGACGACGATGCCCAGCGGCCGGGCTACGAGATCTGTGAGCCGGGCACTCCCATGCTGTCGCGGGCCAACGATGGTTGGTTTGGATCGCGACCCTCGCTCACCTCGGGCCGGCTGCGCTTTCGCACTGTGTCCAGCTCCAAGGATCTGGAGCAGACGCAGCGACTGCACTGTCCCATCAGCGAGGAGCATCTGGAGAGCGATGAGTTCCTCAGGCCCAATAACTTTCGCCGAGAGCGCGTTGAGTCCAATCTGGAGGCGAAGCTCTGCTGCAGATGCTCCGAGCATCGGGCCATCGCCAGGGAGGACAACAACAACAAGGATCCAGAGGAGCAGCCCTGCCCGGACATCAGCTTTCTGCAGAAGGTGGTGACCTTCTTCGATCTGGACCTGCTGCGCGACTTCACCTTCGTGAATCTCGTGGCGGGCCTGACGATCATCAACTTTGGGGAGCTCAACTTCTCCATCCTGACGCCGTTCATCCTGGCGGACTTTGGCTTCGAGACACCGCAGATAACGCTGGCCATGTCGCTGCTGGCCGGCCTGGACATCACCATGCGCTTCCTGGTGCCCTTCCTCACCGAGAAGATCCCGTGGGACAATCGCGTGTTCTTCCTCATCGGCGTCGTTGGCATTGCACTGGGCCGCACGGTGGTGGCCTGCACCCGCTCCTACACGATTATCCTCTGCTGCTTCGTCTGGATTGGGCTCTGCAAGGGCGTGCGCACCATCTTCTGGCCCCTGATCATACCCGGCTACGTGCCGCTGAATCGTCTGCCAGGCGCCTCGGGCCTCCAGCTGCTCATCTCGGGGCTGTTCACACTCATCTGCGGGCCATTTGTCGGTGAGTCTTGGCCCTACGTAGCCTCCCATCCGATCTCCCATCGATGCTAATCTTTGGTTGACTTTCTTTCAACCAGGTCTTGTGCGGGATCGCTTCGACTATTCGGTGACCTTGCATTGTCTCAATATGATGACCTTTGTGGCGGCCGCCTCCTGGACCCTGGAGGCGCTCATTCGACGCCATCGACGGAAGCAGCGCCTGGAGGATAGCTGATCGACATCGTCGATGCTTAAGTTAGTTGCCCTTTTTTTTTTGCTATCTCTAAGATAATGTTTTGTAATACATTATAAAAAGTATAAAGTACAACCGTGGTCTATAGTCGATTTGCTCTTATTACTAAATACTTCCCGGCTGTTCTTTGGGGGAAGCTCTGATTTTAACACGCATTTTCTCCGACCGAGAAGCGCTGCCGCATGACGTGTGTAGGCAAAACTGCAGGATAGACAGAGAGGATAATTACGACAAAGGAATGCTAGAATTAGTGATTTGAGAAGAGAAAGATAAATAGGTGAGGCAATGAAATGAAAAGCAAATGCTTCATTTGGAGATGTAATTGAAAATGTGTCTAGACTCGAGACAATTAATGCAATACTTAGATGGAAAATGTAAGTTGCCGTACAAATACATTTTACATTACATTAACATACATGCTACATGCCATCCATTAACATGGATTGAACTTAACATGACATGGTGGAAATGTGTAGCATGCTTTTAGGCTGGCAACAGTTGGCAGATTGCCAATGGAGAAATTCAATGAAATATTGCCAGCCAATTATCTAATGTATTTTAGTGAAAGGAAACCACCGAAGCACTTGATAATATTTTATGTTTATGTAATCATTCTTACATGCTATTGTACATTAAAGTGACTTTGCTTATCATTTGTTTATTTATTTGTTTTTGTTTTCGTTTTTTTATTTTCATATATTTCTGTTGCATGTTGGAGAATTGCATTTGAAATGGTTATCTACATCAGCATTGTTGATAGCTTCCATTTACATGTATAGACATCGATATTTAATAATATTTATACAACGAATTAGAGCTACTAGCAAAAGGGAGGAAGGCCCACAGATAACACGCAAGCAAAAGAAAAAAAAAAAAACATTAGCGGAGTAAATCTTTTCTATGGGGAAACATTCATCTCTAGCAATACATCGATGCTGCTCACTCAAGTTCTTTGCACTGCTTGCACTTCCTTGGATCCTTTCTACTCTTTATCTATGCGTTTATAAAGCTACCAAATGCAAAAATACTCTAACATGGATGGGGCATCTCTTATCAAATACTTTGCTCTAAATCTAAGTTTGATGTGGGCGGCGGACTCATCCTTTGTCCATTGCATGAGGGGTGTTTTTGTTGTTGTTGTTGTTGTTATTGGTGTGTGGAAATATATTACAATAGATGTGGCGGCTGATCATCCACGATCGCTTTTGGGGCCTTTGGGCACGATCTCTATCTCGGGGAGGGCGACATCGTTGGCCTTGCTGTGGGCCTCTGCAGGGCGGCCGCCGTTGGCGCTGCTGTCACAATCGTGATGACCTACAGTGTGCATGTGCGTGTGGTGTGTTGAAGTGTGGTGAATTGTGGAGTGGTGGTGTGTGGGTGGTGGAGACAAAACAGAGAGCTCGAGATTACATGTCTTGGCGATGTGAATTTCGATTTACTTTGGAGTTGCCGTCGATTATCTCCACAGGATCTGCGGGCACATACGCGGACAGACCCATCAGCCCAAAGATATCCGGCGTGTAGTTGTGCAGCTGTGAGGAGCTGATGGTGGGCGTGGCTGCCTTTGGTTCGCCAGCTAAAAAATCAAATAAGAAGCAAAGAAATTGGTCAAGAGTTGCATTAGAACTCCATCAAAAGATGAGAACACAGAGGGTCATGGATCCTACCTTTTCCCGGCGTTGGGCGCACTCTGGGGAATCTGGGCCCGGCAGGCGCTGGCGTCTGGTGGTACACAGGACGTGGCGCCGATGCCGAGGCGGACACCTCAGACGCATAGTAGGCCTGATGCCGGGGCTGTGGCGTCACCACATAGACCTTCTCGTTTGTCTGCGGCAGAATGGCCACCTTGGCCTGCTTCCACAGCTCTGTGGGCGCCTGTGTGCTCCTCACATACAGCGGTGTGAACACCTCCTCGCTGGGCAGCATCGTCGGCCTTGTCGTCGTCGTTCTGCCGGTGGTGGTGGTGATGCTGCTGCTGCTGCTGCTGCTGGTGCTCGGCAGGGGTGTGGTCATGGCTTGGGGTCGTGGTCGTGGTCGTGGTCGCTGCTGCGCCTCGTAGTAGTCCAGATGCAGGCGATTGTCCTCCAGGGGCTGGAAGCGCTTCAAGCCCCGCTCCCCCAGCAGCTGCAGCTGCTCCAGATTGTTGATGGAGGTGGACAGGTCTCCGGCATTGGTGGGCGAGGCAGCGGCGCCACCCAGCTCGAAGCCTCCGCCGCGTGTCGTCTTCGATTGGCGCGTCAGCTGCTGCGCTCCAGCTGGAGCCGTAGCCGGGGCCGGGGCCGGGGTTGTGGTGGTGGTGGTGGTCGTCAGATACTCCGTGGGAATGTGCTTCGACCTGCCCCGAATGGTGGGGGTGCTGGGGCGATGCGACAACGAGTTGTACTCCTGCTCCGTCCAGCCATCGATGTTGTGCTGCAGCCGGGAAATGTCCACCCCCAGGGGCCGGCGCTTCGTCTCGCGCTCCCGCTTCAGCAGCTCCCGGAGATTGGAGGCCAGAATCTTGGTCAGGTACTTCGTGGTTCGATGCGTGTTGGGCGGTGGCGGTGCCGTCACCGTTGCCGCAGCCAGCTTCGATTCCTGCTGCTCGTGCGGCTCCTCCACATCATTGTCGTCGTGCTGCTCCGGGTTGTGGTTCAGGTTGTGGTTCTGGCTGTGCACCCATGGCCGGTCGAAGGGCCGTGGCCGCTGCTTGGTGGTGTAGGGAATGATCACCTGCTGGGGGCTGGGCGGCGACATTCCCGCATACTGTCCGCTGGCATCGATGGCCCCGTATGTCGAGGTCGGCGTGGGTGTGGGCGGGGACGCTGTGGGCGTGTACACCTGACTTAGCCGGAAGTTTAGATCCGCGGGATCACGCGTAAAAGGTCGCGCCCCCAGGGCATGGTTGATGGGCGAGTCGAGCAGCCGCTTGGGCGTCTCCCTGCCACGACTGCCGGCCTGATGGTAGACGCCGCGATGATGCACTGCCGCCAGATGATTGTTCAACTCCAGCACAGGGGCTGGCGGTGATGCGGTTGGTGCTGCTGTCGTCGGCTGCTGCTCTGTGGTGCTGTCCACCACTGTGCTGGTCTCCTCCGTCTGGTACTGCTCAGCGTAGTAGAGCTGCTGCTCCTGCTCCTGTTCCTGCTGCAGCTGCTGCTGGGAGGACGCCGCCGGATAGTTGTCTGCCGGCGGCAGCTGCTGCGTTGTCGTCTCCGCAAAGTGGCCCAGTTCTGTGAGTAGCTGCGAGGCGGGCAGATGCTGGTGCACCGAGCCACTGCTCAGATCCTCCAGTTGGTAGCGCACCGTGCTGATATCCTGCAGCTGATACTGCTGCTGCAGCTGCTCTCGATCCTGCTGCTGCTGATCTGTGGGTGAGGAGGGTGCACTGCCGCCCAGATCGATCGCATGCGAAGGCACAAAGGTGGCCGGATACTCCACGGAGGTCACAAAGTCCGTCAGCTGGTGGCTCTGGACAATCTCAAAGTTGCTGCTGGAACTGCTTGAGCCACTGGGAGTGATGGGGCTGTACGGATGGGGACGGGGACGGGGACGGGGACTGGGCGCTGGCCTGAATGCTGGCACCGGTGGCAATGTGCTGGCACGCACCTCCGACGGGGCGGCCACATTCTCGAGCGGCCGGAAGGGCTGTGCATTGTAAAGCGGCGGCAGGGCCACATGGCTGAGCGCGGGCAGCGGCACGGTGATGGGCAGGAAGACACTCTGCCCCGCCGGCGTCACCTGTGGACCCCGGAACTGCACGGCTCTCTGGCGATGCTGTGATGCCTGGGCCAGCGGTTGCTGTTGCTGTTGCACCTGCCAAGATTGCTGCTGCTGCTGCTGCTGCTGAATCTGATGCTGTGGATGGGTTGGCTTCTGCTGCTGCCCCACCATTGGCACCCAGGGATACTTGTTGCACAGACTGCAGGGCTTGCCCGCAGCATCGAAGCTCTGCACGGGCTTGGGGTAGGCGTAGTTGTTGTTGCTGCTGGCGCTCAGCTGCTGGTCCCGCGCTGTTTGTCCGCCCAGGCCGAACCAGCGGGCCACGCGCGTCATGAAGCCCGGCGTCTCGGGACCAGGAGCCACGCCTGGGGCCACCTCCGAGTACCCTGCCGCATGGCTGAGACGCTGCGCTGTGGGCAGTGGAGGCGGCACCAAATGATCCGCCGGCTGTGCGGGCAGGACTGACCTTGACAGAGCCTTAGCCTGGGCCTGGGCCTGGGCCTGGGCCAGGACATGGGCCGACGTGGAGAGCATCAGCAACAGCAACAGTGCGAGGCTGGCTAAGCCGAGGGACGCCAAGCGGCGGTTCAGTGCCTGCAATCGAGAGGAGAGAGAAGGGGAAGGAGAAAATCCAATTAGATGTCAAATTTCACTTTCCAAGTCATAAATTCAATGCCAGAGACGCCGACGCGCCTAATTTATAGAGAGCAGGCGGCGGAGGCCGCACCATTCGATCCGGTTACGCATCCAAACATAAAAGAAAGAAGCAGTTGATCCGGTTCATTCCTCACTTGATTCGTGGTTTCACGGTCAACCTACGTATGTATGAGAAAATCGCAAAAACAGCTGCAAAATCGGGGATGGGTTTGATTTTCTTTGATTTTCCAAACAATTTTCGGATATGGGATCGCTGGGATCGTCTTGTATATGCTATAGGAGAAGTACCTTGAAGAAATTTACTAAAAAAATCTATGAGAATGGATTTTCAGACTTTCAGACAGCGGCAGAAGTTCTAACAGGCTACGAGCGCTGTTAACACCTCAAGCCAACAGTCTGTTACCGCTGTCCGACTAGTGCGCTAACAGTTATCTGTTAAATCAAAAGCGTAACAGTTCTCTGTTAGCGCTCACACGATCTACACGGCTGTCGAACGGCCTAAGCTTGTGAGCTTCAATCTAAATACGCAGCAGCCCCAAATTTGGAATAAGAATAAGAGACAAGCATTTGTCGATACATTAAAGCCAATGGGAATGACAGCACCAACACTAACTCCATGTGTGTGTCCTTCGTGGGTAGAGTCGTTCGGGATTCCCAATGATTGTCTCCAGGCAAAGAAATCTCTGTGAGCACACACAACAAAAAAACCCACTCACATGAGATGGCAGAGCTGCGATAATGACATTCAAATTGAAGAACTGATTACAGCACTGGGCCTTTGGCTTTCTGCGTCTGTGTTTGTGTCTGTGTCTGTGTCTGTGTGTCTGTGGACAAACAAGAGCTGACTAACCAGTGAAATATTAGCAGAGATAAAGTGCCCCAATAAGCTGAGCCACAGAATGGAACAGCTTTATTGGCGCCATAAACGAAAAGTGAAGTATTCCATGGAAATACAGAATTCTGCGTAAGAAAATTCCACAAAGTAAGCAAATAAAAATAATAATCTTGGAGGCCCAGCAAAGAACTTAGACCACTCGAGGCGGGACGCATGAATCTTGAGGCTTCTTTAGATTAAAAATAAAAAATAAATTAAATTTGATTGTGGTGGCAATGAATTTCCCATTCCCAGAAGAATTCCAATTGAATCTTCGATTGAATGACAATTTCCGATTCACATGCCGTCCGCCAAAGACTGAGACTTTCTCCATGGTGCCCGGGCGGGGTCAGCTGCTGCTGGCCAAATTGCTAATTAACCAAGGTAAATGGCCATCAGCTACTGACCGCAACGTGGTCCTCATCATCACTCTTTCCATATGCCATTTGCCATGTGCCACTTGCTGGCGTCTCTCTTTCCCTCTTTTGCTTCCCACAAAGAGCCCACCGAAACGAGAAATATCTTCATCTCCGGCAGTGACTTCCTCTCTGGCCATTGGATGGGGTTCATGTCCAATCCTCAGGTGCATCTTTGAGCGACAATTTGCCATTATTTATGGCTGCCCCCATGGCCATGATATAAGTATTGGCAGCTGCATACCCCTGTCAGTAGTAGGCGTCCACTTCAGGCCAAAGTTCAGCAGATTTCAGACAAAGACTGGAGCTTCATGGGAACTGAATCAAAGTTCCTTTTCAGGTGTATTTCCAAAGAATAATTGAGAGACTACAGAAAAAGGAGGAGTCTCTAATGATTGCAAATATCAGAAAAGTTGCATAGAATTTAGATGAAAGAAAATTAATCCCTCCTACACATCTCCGTAGTGCACTCCTGACCCACAGAGATGGAGAGATGCAACCTCCCCCCCCATGGGACTACAGATTTCCCAGTCACCCAGTCACCCAGCGACTGCTGCCTGGCGCCTAATTATGTGAAAATGAGCTCTCATTAATGTGAGTTATCAATAAGCAGCCGAAAAATATAATACGAAGAGAGTTAAGAGCCCCCAACAATGGGCGTTCACTTTCCCATAATTATTATTTTTATTTTTTTCCAACTTCTTTCTTTTTTTATTATTATTATATTTTGGGATACTGCCTTATTTGAAGCTCGAGCAGAGAAGCAGAAGCAGCTCAACGTAATTCAATTAAGCCTCAACGACGATATCAAAACAAAGGCCAATTCCCAATCCGCGGGGGCCCAAAGCTCCCACTTCACTGGCAGGCAGCCCGGGGGGCAGACTGGGAGGCCAGGCACTTCAGTCAGTCCACATGGCAGCAGAAGCAGCAGAAGCAGCAGCCAAGGCCTGGCGATGTCGTTGGGTTGGTAATAAATCGAGGTCGTCGCAATTTGAAAAGAAAGTGAAATTCTGCAAACAGTTGGCAAACAAGCGAGCAGCTGACGGACGAGGAGAGGAGCCTGGCTCTTAGTCACAGTCACAGTCGGAGTCTGGCTGTGGGTCTGGGTCTGGATCTGGTCTGGTCTGGCTTGCTCTGGGAATAAACTTGTTTTCATCTTCTCGGTTCGTGTCGATAATAAAAGCAGCTTCAGCAGAGCAGCGGAGCAGCATCAGTAGCAGCAAAAGAGCATCCAGTGGCTCCATTCAACATGCAACCTTGGCTTTGCACTTGAGAATCGCAAACGACTTGGGAGCCAGCACTCCGCCATAAGGTTTGACAAATGAGCACCAGCCAAATGGGGGAGGGATCCGCACCGGGCTGAAGGGGCAGAGGTGGCAGAAGTAGCAAAAGTGGCAAAAGTAGCAGAAGTGGAGAAGTGCACGCGATCCGACAATGTGCTTGGGAATCTTTTTGGGGCCGCAAATAACCAAACCACAATTGTTGTCGACGACCCCATCATCCATGGGTCGTCATCACATATGAGAGACGATGAGAGACCGACGAAGAGCATCTTCTGCCGCCTTCTGCCTCGGTCCCACTGTGGCGCTGTGGCAAAAGTGAAATTGTCGATAAAAACCGGGAGGAAGCCCAGTAGTGGAGGGTGGAGGGTGGAGGGAGAGAGGGATTGGCGGCCGTGGTGGATGTGTGGAAAAGTGGCAGCAGCGAAAAACTGTCACAGCACGGCACTAGGTTTTCCAAACAACAAAAGCCAAAAGAAATTAATTATGAAAATATACTTTGTACTCATATCGCCAGTGCCTGTGCCTGTGCCTGCGTCTGCCACTGCCACTGCCACTGCGCCTCCGGAGATGTATGGAAATGGTTTGTGGAAAAATAACCGAGAGGAAAAACAACAACAACAACAACAACACAAAGTAATGGCAGCAACAGCAGCAGTCAGCAACGAAAAATACACTTTTATGTGGCTGGAAGTCATCAACGGACAGCCGACGTCAGCGCATGAGCGGAGAGGTCTGCAGATGGGGATGACAGGCTATGCCCCGAGAAATGCCCCCCAATGCACCCATTTGATTGCATTTCTGAGCCACCCAAACATGCAAATTGATATTCATATTTGGGGCCTAATTTGGAAAATCATTGAATAAAATCATTCCCCACCAAATGTGGATTTGATTCATCAAAGCAGAGCCAGCACAGAGTTCCACTTTTTGTTTGGTTTGCATAGTTTCCGCATTGACAAAAGGCCTTCATTGCCACCCTCCTCCATTTATCTAGAGCATTACGTTGCGCCTTTCGCTTCCTTTCGTTTCACTAATACAGATCTTAAGAGAATCTGAAGAGCTTTTCCATGTCATGCGGAAAAACGATTATGGAAAACGTCTGTTGGCGGAAACGTCTGTTGGGGAACTGAGATCTGGTGTCTTCTGGTGAGACAAGCGACAGGTGCGGATGCACCTTCTTGGTGACAACTTTTCCAAATGAGATGGCAGAAAGTGCTGCATGCAAAAGCGATCGATGTGGGACACAAGTCCGCAAGAAATACTCCGCTCGATGGAAGATGACAATCAATAATCTACTTCATCAATACTCATCGTACACACGAGTACATACACATGTGTATGTGTGTTGTTTGGGGCCCAATCTGAACACTTTCGGATTGACTTTTATCGATGGCATGGACTTATCTCGTATGCCTCGTATCACTGCCATCCGCTATCCGCACAGCCATCGTCAGGGACAGGCACAGGGACAGGTACAGATACAAGTACAGCTACAGCTACAGGTGTCCATGGGGTAACTTCAGATAGAGATAGGAGGCGAATGGCCAAACCAAGTCGCAGTTATATGTATTAAATTCTCTGATTAGTTTTTGTTGACATTGGGCAGGAAATTGATAGAGAAGCGGCAGCACAGATTTAACTGTAATTTGAGTTGTTTTATGCCTTGGAAATAAGTACAGAAATGGTAAATAGATATTAAGCAGGCGAAATTAAAAGAGATTATAAGCTTAAGCTGCTCTGCAGTCTGTAACCTATTTGAAGGCTGTTAAAGGAGAGCATTAACAGGCTGTTAATGAAGAGCAGCAACATGGTTTTAAAGGGGAGCGTTAACAGGCTGTTAAAGGGAGCATTAACAGGCTGTAGAAGAAGAGCAGTAACAGGCTGTTGAGGAAGAGCATTAACATGGTGTTAAAGGGGAGCATTAACAGGCTGTGGAAGAAGAGCAGTAACAGGCTGTTAGAGCTGCTGCCCAGAATACAGCTAAATGTCTGCTTTATCACACCTCTCTACAGACAGATCAATTATCCCGACGCAAAGTGTGATGACTCCGTAACTACTGACATCAAAATCGTAGCCGAATCGAAAATTAATCTCACCTCGACCTGTTAAGTAGCTGACAAAAGAGAAAGAAGAGCCATTGGCCTTGGCATCCACTCGAATGTGGATAATTCATGAAGCTGCTTAATTTGATTAGTGCTGCCCCTGCCATGGCCCATGCTCATGCAACTGTCTCTGCGGGGATGAGCCTCTTTTCTGGCCCCAACAAAAAAAATAAAACAAAATTGCAGACACATTTGCGAAATGTCTGTCATGGCTCGGTGCGATGATGATGATTATGGTTATGATTATGACGTACTCAACGCA